AACGGTCTAAGAACCGCCGGCAGCGCAAAGCCGTAGCCCGCAAGCAGCTCCCAGTTGCCCAGCGGTCCGTAAGTGTGGCACACCTCCTCGCCCGCGCGCAGCGGCCGCGCCGTGCCCACCAGCGCCGCCTCCTCGCCCTCGCCCTCGCCCTCGCCCTCGCCCTCGCCCTCGCCCTCGCCCTCGCCCTCGCCCTCCTCCTCCTCCTCGCCCTCGCCCTCCTCCTCCTCCTCGCCCTCGCCCTCCTCCTCCTCCTCGCCCTCGCCCTCCTCCTCCTCCTCGCCCTCGGCGGGCGGAATGCGCAGCGTGCAGTCGCACCGCAGCTCTGCGCCCTCGTCGCCCTCGTCGCCCTCGTCGCCCTCGTCGCCCTCGTCGCCCTCGTCGCCCTCGTCGCCCTGCTCTTCGGCGAGAGCCGCCTTGTGGTTGAGTAGGTCGGCCAGCGGCACGAGGCCCTCGCCGTGCTCCCCATCGACGAGAAAGGCGCGCGACGACGACAGCGTGCACGCTCGCAGGTACTCTTCGGAAGAGGGCAGCGGCGCCGCGCCCTCCCACTCCTCCACGGCGCTGCGGTAGTTCTCGAGGAGACGCCGCTTGCGCCGCTGGCTCGTCTCGTCCAGCCCAGTGCCGGCGAGCATCCGCAGCTCAGCCGCCGACCAGAGCAGCGGCAGCGGCTCATGCAGCGGCAGGCTCTGCAGGTACGCGTGCCACTTGCTGCTCTTGCCTGCAGCGCGCTCGAGGGCGATGGCGAGGCCGAGGACCTCGACGGACGGCAGCCCGAGCGCGAGCAGCGCGTGCAGCGCATTGGCGTCACGCACATTCTTCCTGGTCAGCATCGCCGCCTTTGGCACGGCGACGACCACGCTGCCCGGGTTGAGATCGACCTCAGCCACGCCGTAGACGCCGCGGCCCTCGGCGACTTCGAAGCGCAGGCCGGCCCAGCTGACGCGGTGCCGGCGGAACCAGGCGAGAAGCGGCGGGGGCAACGGCGATGACATCGACTCGTGCCACAATAACGCGTTGGCCCTCAGCGGAGCTGGGAAGAGGACCGCCGCAAGCGGCGTGGCGTGGAGCGGTTGTGCATCCCTCCGGGGGCCCCTCTGCGCCGGGGAGGCGTTGTTGGAGGCTAGGACGCAAGCGTCCGTCGCCCTTTTCAAACTCGGGGCCCACTCCGCTACGCTCCGACCCGAATTTGGAGGGCCTGAAAGTTTAAGGTGTTGCTGCGCAAAAGGGGTCGGACACAGGGCGCAGCTCATGCTAAGAGCTAGAAGAGGAGATAGAGAGAACAACCACCCTGTCCCGTTATTGCGTACACCAACACCACAAAACGCTCTCTCTCTCCTGTCCTCACTCAGGGGGGTCACAACTACCAAGTCCCTCGACTAGCTGCCACAGGGCGCAGCTGCCACAGGGCGCAGTTGGAGACGCTCTCCCTCAATCGGCATCCACCCCCACCCGCTCCAGCCCCACTTCTGCTGCCGAGAGAGCTGAATCGAAGCAAGCGAGCCATTGCATCTTGGCGTGCTCCTGGAGCGCGGCTTTCTGCTTGGCGGCCACGAGCACGGCGGAGTCGGCGTCGTAGCGCGCATCGTTCCCGCTCATCGCCCATTCCTCCCACGTGACGTGTGTCGGCCGCGATTCGATGTCGCCACCTTCATCGCCAACGAGGACTCCCTCGACTGCAGGGGGCTCCGGCGCGGGGAGGGACTCCGCCTGCTGCGCTGGCCGACCGCGCCCTCCTCCTCCATGGGCTCGATCCGAATCCGCAGCGTGTCGTCCCCAGCGGCGGTGCTGCGCGGGAGGCGGCCGCGGGCACGCTGGGCTCGATCAGCGGCTTTCCCTCAGTCCGAAAGCACGGATTTGGCTTCAATTTTACGAATGTCTTGGCACCAGCTGAAGGCTTGGGTCCGACATCACGCAGTTCGTGCACGGTATTCGGATTTTGCTATTTGTTCGTGTGGGGGTATATTGCAGATTTGTCAATGGTACCGCGTCTGCGACGCGGGCGCCTTGCGAGCAGAGCCCTTAGGACACCCTTTTATCTTGCGCGGTCAAAAGATGCCACCAAGTGCATGGCGCGCGCAGGATTAGCGTGGGATGAACCTCGAGACACACTGTGCACGCACACACCACCACACGCAGGATTCCTGGGGCAGGCTCGAGGATGTGTGGTCTGTGGTGAATCACAGCATGTTCCTCTCGCGTGTACGCGCCTCATATTGTGCCTTTTTCTACTCGTAAAAGCAGTAGCCGCTGTGCGCGTCCGTCTGCTCGTCCAGCCACACATTCGGCCAAAACATGAGCAGCCTCTGCGCCCACGCCTGTGGTGGCGGCTGCAGCGCCGGCTCGTCGGGCGTGCACCGGGCCGAGAACCAGTTACCGCGCCGCACGGTGCAGCTGGGAGGGGAGGTTCCGCCTCGCTCGACGAGCGTCGTGAGCGGCAGCGTGGCGACGAGGGCCTGCCGCCCCGCCGCGTCCGCGCTGTAGCCCCGGGGCAGGCGGCGGTAGTCGATGCGGAACGCCTCTCCGCGCGCGCGCGCCTCGGCGAGCACGCGGCGCAGCTCGAAGGTTGGCAGCGTGTACCTCAGAAAAGGGCCTCCCTCGCCGTTGCGCATGGTCAACAGCGGGCTGACGTTTCGTCCGAAGGCAGGCCCAATCACACGCCCCGAATGGCCCACGCGCCGGAGGAGCTCGCGCGCGCTGGGCGTAAGGTGGTGGGTGAGCTCGCAAGGTAGGAGGGCGTTGATCCACGCCGAGCTGCACCGCTCGACGAGGACGACGTCCGACGGGACGGTCGGCAGTAGGCGGCCTAGCAGGTCGGTCGGCACCACGAGGTGGTTGCTGCCCCCGTGCACGCGCAGGTTGGAGAAGGGCTTGGGCGGGAAGTCGTCGGCGAGCCCGAGGAGGGGGAGCCCAAACACGAAGAGAAAGCCCTCGGCGAGGACCAGCCGGCGTAGCCACGGCGCCGCGGCAGGGGCGGCGGCGCGAGGCGGCGGAGGGGCGATCATGCCGGGCAGGGCGGCGGCGGCGCTGAAGAAGAGGGAGAGCGCGGCGAGATGCGGCAAGTGCCAGTCGGCGCCGCCCGACGCCTCCGGCGCAAGCTTGGCGAGGGCGCTCGTCGCGCCGCCAAAGTTGTGGTCCGAGCCAAAGTTGTGGTCCGAGCCATTGCCGAAGAGGTAGGCGACGTGGACGTGCGCCGCGAAAACTGCGGCGGCGGCGGCGGCGGCTGCGGCGGTGGAGGTGGACGCGCTGCCGCGCAGCAGGCTGGCAAGACGCGCGTGCACGGCGACGGACTCGTGCGGGAGCAGCGCGACGTAGCGGCTGACGCAGCGCGTGCCGTACGAGGCGATGTTGTGTGGGGGCGGAGTGATGCCGATGAGCCAGTGCAGGAGGACGCCTAGACAGAGGGAAGGCGTCACAAAGGTGGCGGTGGTCCCGGTGTGGGGCTTCTCTCAGGCCGCCGAGCACGACGGCCGCGCGCTCGAAGCCGGGGAGCCAGATCATTGCGGCGAGCCCGCCCTCGACCGCCTCGGTGACGTGCGGGGCCGACCTCGCAATGAAGCTAAGCGCGGAATCGGGCAGCGGCACGGGCAGCCAGTAGTCGACGAGCTGCAGGAAGAAGAGGGCCGGGCAGTTGGACGGCTCAAAGAAGGCGCGGTTGAGCTTCCAGAAGAAGGCACCTCCGTACCACAGCGCCGCCTGGACGCGCAGGCACTGGGACAGGCCCGCAAACACCGCCGCGCGCTCCTCTCCTGTCCACGCCTGCAGCAGGAGCCTCGGGCTGCCGACCGCCACGGCTGCCGCGGACAAGAGGAAGGCTGCGTCGTGGTGCACCGCCCAGCAGTCAGCGTCGAAGACGGCGGGAAGCATCTGCGAGAACTGCCAGATGGAGGCGGCGTGAGCGGCGACGAGGAGGCGTCCGTTGCTTGGCGCGACAGCAGAGGCTGCTGCAAGGACGGTAAAGGCCCGCTGCGCCCAGCCCGACTGCAAGAGCCCGGCCAGGGAGCCGCCGTGAAAGGTGACGTGCAGCGCGAGGTTGGAGAGGGCCCAGACTCGGCCGTAGACGGCGAGCGGGTCGGCCATGTCGCACCGCGGCGGCAGGCTATCGGATGTACCCCTCTCGGCGCGCTCTCTGGCGCGAAAAGATTTTCGCCGATAACGATTGGGGTAGGGGCCCTAACTCGTGATAGGCCACTAGTTTCCCGCAGGAGACTCACGGAGATCCTCTCTTCTCCTACCTCTTCTTCTTCCTCTGCATCCTTCACGGACTCTCCGTGGACATCTTTTACTTCATCTTTTACGGAAGTTTGAACTTCCGTGCGTGTCGGGCGCTCCCGCCCGCTCGCTGCTCTGATGAGCGCGGCTTCCGCTGCTCTCTCCTGCTCACCTGGCCATGACGCCGCTCCTCGTCCTTGGCCGCGCCAGGCTCTCCTTCCTACTGCGCCAGCCCTTCGGCTGTATCAGTTCTTTCTTCTCCGTGCAGGATCTGTGCGTCTGCGCCATTGTTGCTGTTGCTGGCGACTGTCCTTGGCAGCAGTGCACGATGGGCGATGGCCTCATCTGCTTGCCTGCGATGCTCTGCGGTCGCCTCGGCCCTGCCACAGCGGCCTCGTCCACCTGGAGACCTGAGTCGGTGGCTCCACAGCCCGCTCTGAGGAATGCTGTTGCATCTCAACTCGTGGCGTGCCTCTCTCTTCTCTCTCTGGGCGTCTCCCTCGCCGCCCTGTCGGCGGCGCGGAGTGACGGTCGGCTCTCGGCTGCCGCCTCCGCCTCTCTCTAGGCTTCTCCGTCGCCGCCTCGACGGCGGCGCGGAGTGGTGGCCGGCTCTCGGCTCCTGCCTCCGCCTCTCTCTTAGGCTTCTCCCTCGCCGCCTCGACGGCGGTGTGGGGTGGTGCTTTCTCCCTCGCCGCCTTGACGGTGGTGGCTCGATTCCCGGCGGCCTCTGGACGCTCGGCGACCGGCCTCACCCCTCTCGTGATTTGGCTGTCGCCTCTGTGGCTCCATGCCACGGCCAGTTGCCCCTTCTGTGGGGTTCATTGGGCTTTCCGGGCCACCTGCCCTCGCTCCTCCTCCACTGCGCGTTGGGATGTCAGGGATACTGCGTAGCCCTTCCTGGTGGAGGCGCGCGCGATTCCGTGACTCTCCTTTTACGCGCCAATGTACCCTCACCGAAGGTGCATAGGAGTGAATCCGAGTGAAACTAGTTCGCCGATAACGATTGGGGTAGGGGCCCTAACTCGTGATAGGCCACTAGTTTCCCGCAGGAGACTCACGGAGATCCTCTCTTCTCCTACCTCTTCTTCTTCCTCTGCATCCTTCACGGACTCTCCGTGGACATCTTTTACTTCATCTTTTACGGAAGTTTGAACTTCCGTGCGTGTCGGGCGCTCCCGCCCGCTCGCTGCTCTGATGAGCGCGGCTTCCGTTGCTCTCTCCTGCTCACCTGGCCATGACGCCGCTCCTCGTCCTTGGCCGCGCCAGGCTCTCCTTCCTACTGCGCCAGCCCTTCGGCTGCACCAGTTCTTTCTTCTCCCCACCCACCCTATCCTGCCTACTCTCTGGCTTTGGGGTGTGGTTCTCTCTATCTGGTCCGAGGTGCGATCCCTTACGGCGCCGCGGGCGGCTACAGGACGTTGAGGTCCCCTCCGTACCTGTAGCAACCCAAGCCGTTTGAGTCCCAACCCTCCGCCTTCAGTGGCAGGATCCCAGGGGATGTCAGGGATACTGCGTAGCCCTTTCTGGTGGAGGCGCGCGCGATTCCGTGACTCTCCTTTTACGCGCCAATGTACCCTCACCGAAGGTGCATAGGAGTGAATCCGAGTGAAACTAGTTACAACTCAACTGTCAACTCCCTCGCACAACACTGGGCACGGGACTGGCGCGAAAAGAATTTTACAACGTCCCGCGAAAGAATTTTAATCCGAACTCCCTCGCACGACACTAGGCACGGGACTGGTCGTGCGCGAAAAGAATTTGGGGGCGAAGAATTTTGCCAGTGTGGGACCTGCGGCGTGTTGCCTTTTCTGTCGGCTGTTTTCTTCAAGTAACATACTCCCTCATCCTCCAGCTCCACCGGACGGATCCGACTTTCGACAGTGTTGCTGGCAAACGCTTAGGCTGCATACATGTTTCCTCGCTCACCCCGTCTCGGTTCCTTTCCGTGTTTCTCTCAGCACCCTCTCGTTTCCTCTTTAGTTTCCCGAGGAAACTCCGAGAGAGAGCTGTTTTTAAACTCCGTGGAAATCAGAGAGAGAGCTCCTCTTCTTCTCTTGAAATCAGAGAGAGAGAGAGATTTAGCAATACCAGCTGGTTTGGGCCCAAAATCAGCCAAAGCGGCAAAATACCGCGGTATTTTGTGGGTATACCTGGAAAACCCCGGGTATGCACGAGTCCTGACACACAACGAGTCCTGTGGAGGCATGTCGTCGTCCATCTGAGGACCCGCGGCGTTTCATTAGTTCTTCCTTCTGGGACGGCGACTCGGAAAGAGGCCTTGCTAAGAAAGGGGTTCCATCCACCATCGCCTAGAAGGCTCCGCCCTCGTCAAATCCACCCGCCCGCCCGCTCACCAGCACCACTCCACACCAACTCCGCCCCACACGATCGTCTTGCATCTCCGCCCTTACACTGCCCGCTTGCCGGCTGCCGCCGCTGTCGCCGTCGCCACACGCCTCTGTGTTCCTGCAGGAGGGAAAGATGATCTTTGCCACGGCTCTCGTCGTGCTTGGCCTCGCCGAGTCGGCTGACGCCCTCGTCCAACAGCAGTTGGCGAGGGCCCTCGTGGCGATGAAACATGCGTCGGCCGAGACAAGTGTGTCGCCCAGGGCTGGAGCTTGCTCATCGCACTCGGATTGCAGCGACGACAACTACTGCGATACCGCAATGAACTGCTTCATGTGCTCCGGGTGCGCTTATTTTGACGACGCCATCGACGGCACCTGCCCGCCGAAGTGCGGCGACGGCGGCGGAAATTTCGGAGACCTTTGCAACGATGGCTCCGGGTGGGAAGAACTCTTTGGCGCCGACCTGCTTGAATGCCTCTGCGAGAATGGCGCGACCTCAGCGACTGACCCCGGCCTTGAAATCATTTGCAAATGTGAGGATGAGTTTGTGCGCGGCACCTCTCCCCTACTCGCGGCCCCCTTCCCGATCTCTCACCCCTACCACCCGTGCGCACAGAAATCGACTGCGCAAGTCCAACTCGGGGCCGCTTTCTTGGGCCAAGACCCCGACGACTACTTCAAGGAGACTGTTCTCGAGGGGGGGGAGTGCCCCTCGGACGACCCCTGCTTCGCCCGTGACACCCTCGCCCTCCTCCCGTCGGGGGAGCGAGTGCCGATGGCCTCGCTCAAGGCAGGCGACCTCGTCATGGACGGCCCCTCATCAGTCGCCCGCGTCATCGTCAACCAGCATCGCGAGGCCACCGTGCCACCGAGCCCGCTGTACCACCCTCTCGCCGTTACCACAAATACCCGCGCCGCCACCCTCTCGCCTCAACCAATCTCCACACCCAGCCCGTCTTGCCGCCAGGCCACCTTCAAGTCGGCCCTCCTCGAGCTCGAGCACGCCAACGGCATACTCTCCCTCACCCCCGATCATGTGCTGGAGGTGGACGGAAAGGCGCGACTGATGCTAACCCCCTTCCTCCCTTCTCCCACCGCCCTCCCGCCTCCTCCCACCTCCCACAACCTCCCACCACACCCTTCCCTGCCGCAGTTCGTCCCCGCGCGCATGGTCGCGGCCGGCTCCAAGCTCGGCGAGTCCGAGGTGTCGCGCGTCGTCGCCTCGGTGGGCGAGGTGATCAACCCGCTCACCACCTCGGGCAAGATCCTCACTCAAGGCGGCGTGCTCGCCTCCACCTACCCCGAGTGGGTCGCCGAGTACATGCTCTCCTCCTACCTCGTACCGCTCCCGCTCTCGCTCTCCAATCTGCTCTCGTACCTCTTCCCGGAGACCGCGCAGGCGCGCCTCGCCTCGCCTGTTAGCACCTCCTCTGCCCTCCTCATCCCGAGTCTGAAAGAGTATGGGAGCCTCACACACAGGCGTACTACGACGCGCTCATTGAGCCGCTCGTCACCAAGGCCCACCCGAAGCACCTAAAGGCGGCCCTCCCCGCCCCGCTCCTCCCTGCCGCCTTCCTTGTCGGCGACCTCGCCGTCTCCGCCGGTTTCGCCGCCTTCGCGCTGGCCTCGCCGTTGGGCGTGGCGGCTGTCGCGGTCCTCCTCGCCGCCAAGATGCGCAAGGCGCGCAAGTGAAGATTAAAAGGCCAGAGGTCCTCGACGTCGCCGTCAACCCCGCCCTGGCCGGTTGTCTCAATCCTGTGTACTACCATCGAGCTTCCTTTGCATGTCGAGGGCTGCGCCCATGAATCTGCATCCGGCGCCAGATCATCCGGTGGGATCGTGTGCGCCCTCGGGCCCCGAGCCCCTCATTGAAAAGCCCCTCGCGCCTTTCTCCGAAACCCAAGTTTATGCACCACTCCAATAATGCGAATTAACTCATGTGGTAGCCGGCATATTTCAAAGTCATCCCCACCGGTTGTGATGGTGGAATACTTTGGTTGTAACGTGGCAGTGTCCATGCGTTGTGTTCAAACGGATAGCCAGCCACGCCCCCTCCTTTGAGCGAGTAGCCCGCCTCCTTTGCGTCGCTGCACGAGTAGCCCACCGCCTTCGTCTCCTTGAGCGAGTAGCCCGCCTCCTTCGCCTTACTGCACGAGTAGCCCGCCGCCTTAATATCCTGCAGCGAGTAGCCCGCCGCCCTGGCCTCGCTGATTGAGTAGCCCGTTGCCTCCTGCAGCGAGTAGCCCACCGCCCTTGCCTCGACGCACGAGTACCCTGCCGCGCGCGCCACGCTGCAGCCGTGGCCCTTCCGCCGAAACTCGCGGAGCGCCTCGACCCTCGCCTCCGTCTCGTCGCAGGTGGCTGGCCGCGAGGTGTCGCTCCCAGACAGCTTAGGCCGGCGCTCGAGCTCCGCCACACGGGCCTGCAGCATCGTCACCTGCGTCTGCAGCGCTTCGATGATCTGATTCGCGGCGTTGAGCTTTGCCACGTGCTCCAGCACCTCCGCCACCTGAGCACGGAGAGTCTGTACATCCTCCTTTGTGTCGCCCAGCTTTGTACTCGTGGATTGTCGAGGGCGTCAATCCGTCCGACGACTCAGGTGGCCTCGGCTTCCGCTTTGGCCTCTGATCTTTGTACGGCCAGGCTCTGCTCCGCCAGCTGCTTCTCAACCTCGTCCGCGCACGAGCACGTGGCCAGCGAGCAGCTCGGCCGACGCCATGGGGCGACGGATCGCCAGTGCTTGGATCGCCTGCCCCCGACACACGCGTACACGGCCAAAGCGGCTCCCCCCACCAAGCGGCCGCCAAGTTGAACCGTCTCCTTAGATACATACATACCTGGAAAATACCCGGGTAGTTTGCCGGTTTCCTCGGTTCCGCCTCAGATTTTGCCCCAGACCAGCTCTCAGACTCAGGGAAACTCGAGAGTTGCCAGAATGGAGCTCCAAACACCCTCTGGTTTCCCTGGAAATTTCCGGAAACGAAAAGTGCTCGGGACCCTCTCGTTTCCTTTTTGGTTTCCGGAAACGTGTATGCAGGCCAAGGCAAACCGCATCGCGCAGCCGCACGGAGTCCCCGACAGCCACGCACAGCACGCTCACTGTGGTTAGAAGTTAGGGTTGTTTGTGGTGAGCTCCTCGCAATCCTAGCATCTTCGAACCTCAAACGCATATCTGATGTGGCACTTGGTGGGAGTGCAGTCAGGGGGGGGCTTTCTGAGATTGTTGCGCGATATTAACAAAACAAATCCGACACTACAACGGTCCACGCGGTTCACCAACAGCGCTCCGGAAGTTACTCTGCGGCCGGTGGGTGTTGGCTCCTCTAGTCTCACGCCCTGCCCCACTCGTCCTCGGCAGCTGCGGCGGGCTCAGCGGCCGCAGCCTCGCCCCACCCGTCGTTCTGGCCGGCTGCTGCGGGTGCTGCCTGGCTGCTCTGCGCAACGTCGCTCGGGTGCACGGCGGCCGGGGGCGGGGGGACCTGCACGCCCGCCGTGTCCGCCACCGTCTGGATGCCGCCCGTGAGCGCGCCGGTGAGCCCGCCGAGGATGGCGTTGGGCAGGGCCACCGAGAGGCGGCCAACCGCCTTGCCCAGCTCGCTCTTGGGCACGTAGGGCTTCTTCTCGGCGGCGGCGCCGGCCGAGGCGGCGGCCTGCGCTTGCTGCGGCTGCCCCCAGCCCTGCGCGCCAGCCTGGTAGCCCCCCTGCTGCTGGTACTGCGGGTAGCCCTGCTGGTAGGGCTGCCCGTAGGCCGCGCCGCCGTAGTTGTACGTGCCGCTCGGCGACCACTCCGCCTGCTTCTCCGCGGGCGGTGCTGCATCCTCCGCCGCCGCGCCGCCCTTGTGGTTCAGCGCGTCGAAGTGGTCGGCGGTCTGCGCCGAGAGGGCGCCAAAGTCGGTGGACGGGTCGGTGGTGCCGGAGGCGACGCCGGCGCCCGCGCTGGCAAACTCGATGCCGGTCTGGATGCCCTGCATCATGTAGTCCTGCCAGCTCGCGCCGTGCGGCGGCTCGGAGGCCTTCTCGTCCACGGCGGCGGCGGCTGAGGATGGCGAGGAGGCCGGGGAGCCGAGCGCCGACGTGAGCTGGTTGACTGCCGTGAGGATGCCGTCGCTGAGCTGGCCGTCGGCGATGACAGCGGGCGACCCGGCCGTCGTCTTGCCGCTGTTCAGGCTATCAAACTTGTCGGCCGTCTCTGCGTTGAGGTCTTGGAGTAAGACGTCGTCGCCGGAGGCACCGGCGTTGGCGTAGGCGGCGCCCGTCTCGATGCCTTGGTTCATGTACGCCTGCCATCCGGCGAGAGCGCGAGCGTTGGAGCGCGTGCTGGCCGCCGGGACGGGAGCGCCGTTGACGATGGAGATGAGAGAGAGCATGGCTGCGGACGGAGTGCTGGACGCGGCAGGAGACTCTCGGCTGGGATGGCAAGGAGCGCTTGAAAGGGCAAGGGAGTGGCTTCGGAGATACTCCGAGATTCAGCGTGACCCCCCGGGACATCTGAGTTACTTTGCAGGAACGGCAACTAGGGTCTGTTATGACTGCATGCACATGTGCATGCACATGCGCATGTTGTGCATGTGCATGTGTTTGTTGTTGCTCATTCCTGGGACACCCTCGGACCGACCCCCGGGCGGCCGGGTATACCCGAGAATTCTCAGGTATACCCGAAAAACACATGCACCCGGAGCGCGCGCGTCGCTATGGCGCCCTTCCCGCAGGCACGTGCGCCAACTGCACCAACCACGGTGTGCTCAAGTATGCGCGCCGCACCATGTGTACCCGCTGCAAATGCCAGAAGCGAGAAGGCGGCCCACGGCGGAGCGCGTGGCGCGCCTCGCCGACGGCAGAGGAGACGACGCGGTCGTGCCGACATACTGCTTCGAGATCAAGGAGGTGATTGGCATGCGCTTCGCCGACCGTGAGCAGCTCGTGGCGGGAAGAAGCGGCGCAATGAGCTGGCCGCGGCGGAGACGTCGCTGTGCTACCTCACCCGCGGCAAGTTTGGAGAGGACCAGAATGACGACGGCTTCATTGATACGCGCTGGGTCGAGCTCGAGGAGCTGTACGACAACTGCGGCAAGCAGAACCTACCTGGCACTCAAGGCGTACCGCACGGCAGAGAAAAAGGCGGCGGACGAAGCCATTGTCGGCTTTGAAGAGGATGGCGAATAGGAAGCGGCATAATCGTGTGGTGAGTGCTTTGAGTGGGTGGCTGTCCCGTATTGCAATATAAGCTGTTCGCTACTGAGGGAGGACTGATGAGCCGCGTCCGCACTGTCCCCTGTGCCTGTGTCTGCTGCTAGTGCCGAGAGAGGCTCCGTGTCTCAGCGCCTCCGGCGGGCCCAGTGGCCGGTGTTCTGAACATTCTAAGAACGCATTCCGAGCCTCGCCATTCTGATCATTCCCCTTAGCCTTACCTTGCAAACTCAGCGTGTCATCGCGGTTAGGGGTTAGTCTCTCTCTCTCTCTCTCTCTCTCTCTCTCTCTCTCTCTCTCTCTCTCTCTCTCTCTCTCTCTCTCTCTCCCATTAGCAATTACAAGTGACACTCCGTGTCATGTCGTCTCTCTCTCTCTCTCGCTCTCTTTCAATATCTCTCTTCTGGCGCATGGTCGTCTTCGCTGCCGTTCTCGCCGTTCGTGCCACCTCGCCTCTCGCGCCGTCGCTCACGGAGCATCGCTCAGCAGCCGCCTTGTGTGCTGCACACGTGCGTTGAGCACGGCCATCGCCGCCATCGCCGCCGTTGCCGTCGCCTCTTGCGCCATCGCTTTTCGAGTACCACTCGCGAGCCGTTTGGCTGTCGCTTCCGATGAGGCGCGGCCATCACCACCGGCTGTCGCTTCCGATGAGGCGGGCCATCACCACCGGCTGTTTCCAATGAGGCACGGCCATCACCATCACCCTTGGTCTCTTCGTTTACCCCCGCCGTTCCATCTTATGTCGCTTTGGTTCCCGACTGTTTGCGTGCTCGGCCCTCCCTCCTTGCCCCATTTGTGGGTCGGTGACTAGGGCCGGCATCTCGAGGGCGACACCTACACACACACAGCGTTTCGAGTCATCCCAGAGGAGACGTGTCCAAACTCCAATCGTGTGGTGTACGCGCGATCTCTCACGCCTCAATCTGCTGCCCGCGTGCAGTCTGCAGTGCACCCCTCGTGCAGCCAGCCGGCTCCGTATCTTAGGTGATCGCCCAAACATTCACCCAAATGCTAAAAACCTTGGACACGTTCGCCCGTCAAATTCACGCGCATACGGGATATAGAGCGCCTACTCACACGTTGAGCACACGAGCTTCGAGCGTCCCGGGGCGCGGCGTGTACCACCAGCCGGGCCGCGCACTCTCGCAGCTGCGCCGCGCTCCCGCGCTCACATCTGTCCGCAGTCCGGCGGCGGGGCGACTACCACGGGCAATATGAACATCACGCTTCACCCTTCACGGCTGATCTCTCTGGGGGGTTCCGGGGACGGTTTTTATGGTCACTGGCGTAAGCTCTCACCCCATAAAAGGCTAGACCCGCTGTTCACGCCAGTGTCGATATGAGGCGCCCCCAAAACCACGTCTCATCTCCCGTTAGGATCAATTAGTTCCACAGAGATTCACACACGCTCTCCCCTCGACACACCTGCTGATTTCGGGGTCCAGTGCATGGCGGGATGCGCACGCGCATGCGCATGAGTAACTTATTCTCGGCCGAAAGGCCCGCGCACGCCGACGCGTACACACACGAGCATGCATCATCTGACGGCATAGCTGCTGTAATTCCAGAACCTCCACACGCCCTCGTTGGAGGGCGCCACGTCGGAACGAAAGGTTTTGTATCGTCGTGCGATTACGGGGTCTGAGCGTGTCGCAGTGCAGCCGCGACTGATGAGATCCTCGAAGCGGAAGAACCTCACATTGGCGTGCCGCATTTGCATCCACGCCCCATAGTACGCTTCCCACACCAGCATCGAGTGCCGATCGCGCCGCTTCAACGTCATCGGATGCCGAGCTATCACAGCGTGGATGCAACTGGATCGACACCGCGGGTGGAGGAGCTTGGACGAAATGTTCGGGTCGGATGCAGATCGGATGGTGCATCCGCTGTGCTTCTCGCGCGCGAAGACCTGCACCGGAGATTCAAATAGGCACGGCAGCACGCGCTCAAACCACCTCGTGCCCATTCCCGGGCAGCCGCGCACGTACACGTCCAAGCCCAGCACGCTCGTGACTGCAGTCGGCAGCATTTCGGCGTGTTTTTCGCTCGGATTTTAGCTTACTGGGAGAAAGGAGGCAGAAGGGAGAGGCCACCGGCCAAAAGGCATGTCTTGAAGGTCCGATACTGGAAGCCCATGTAGGCACCTTACACTCCCATCGCACCTCTTGAGCGACACTACGTTTCCGCAGCTGGGGATTCTCCGGGTACCCCTCTTTGTACCCGTGCTGGCCGGATTCCTCCTCCGAACAAGTCAAGTTCGATCGGCCCCAGTCTCTCTCTCTCTGAAGGTCCGATACTGGAAGCCCTTATAGGCACCTAACAGAGAGGAGAGAGATAGAAAGAGCGGAGTGAGTACACACACACACACACACACATAGAAAGAGGAAAGAAGAGCAACGAGCGAGGTAAGTGCGTCTGATTCACAGCTTAGGAGAGTACCATGATCCATGTGGGCTGGAGGCGGAAAAGAAAATCAGGCAGGCGTTCGTCTGGGCGTCACGTTGAGTCGTCTCAGTCTCACGTGAACTGACACGTGAATCCGTCCCTGTCTCTCAGTCCATCGTTCTTTGCCCGTCATAGATTGCATCGTTCTCAGTCCATCGCGAGCATCATAGATTGCATCGTGAACCGCCACCACACTCTCCAATGCCTCTCTCTCTCTCTCTCTCTCTCTCTCTCTCTCCAATGCTTCATTCTCAAGAAAAGAAACGCGAAACTTCCAGGCAGATCGCCTCTCCAAGCGCGACTCGCGCCACCTCCCTGATAGCCGTGATTATGTACAGAAAGCTCGTGACCGCGGCGACCGTCGCGGCGGCAGGTGCCTCCACGCTGCCAGGTGGGGCCCCGATGCACCCGGAGCCGCCCCGTTATCCTCGCCGTGCTGCGCCGCGCGCCGACGTGAGATGGTCGAGCGGCGAAGGCTGGTCGTCGCCAGAGGGCAGCAGTGTGGCGGCGGCGTCGGCTTGCGATGAGGCGGCGTCTCAGGCTGGCGCGGCAGGCGACGCTGGCGCGGCGGCGTGCGACGCATCGCCGCCGCCGCAGGGGGTTCCGGTGGGCGACGACTTTGTCGAGCCAATGTGCCGTGAGACGGACTCGCGCTTTGTGCTGTTTCCGATCCAGCACGCCGACATCTGGCAGATGTACAAGCAGCACGAGGCGTCGTTCTGGACGGCGGAGGAGATCGACCTCGGCCCGGACCGCAAGGACTGGGAGCGGCTGACTGCGGACGAGCGGCACTTCATCACGCATGTCCTCGCCTTCTTCGCCTCGTCCGACGGCATTGTGGTCGAGAACCTCGCGGAGCGCTTCTGCCGCGACATCAAGGTGCGCTGCCCCCTCGCCCAGCCTCTCTCCCCGCGCCGCCGCCGCGTCCGGCGCCCCTCGCCGCCGCCTCGCGCCGCCCCACACCTCCTGGCACCACCTGGCTGCAAGCAGCCAAACCTTCCACCCCGGCAGCCCCAAGCAGCAGTTCCCCCCCCCCCCCCCCCGCGCCCCGCGCGCTTGCAGCTGCCCGAGGCGCGCTGCTTCTACGGCTTCCAGCTCGCGATGGAGAACATCCACTCGGAGACATACTCTCTCCTCATCGACACTCTCGCGAGGGCCCTAGATGTGCCCATCTCGAGATGGGTAGATGGGCCCATCTCAGATGGGCCCATCTCGCGGAAGTCGCCCCCACCCCCTGCACCCCAACGGCGGCGCCATGCCGTCCTCAGAAGAAGAGGCGTGGCTGGGTCGAGGCTGCCGGCGTGATGTCGCACGCTCTTCACACAGCCACACAGCCTTCGGGTCCCGGTCGCACGCACTGGACAGTCGAGAGATCGGTCAACCTGAGGACCTGAGGACGAGAGTCGCTCCTCACCGCCCGGCCCGTGTCCCCCTCCCCCCCCACGCACAGGTCAAGGACCCGTCGGAGCGAGACCGCCTCTTTGGCGCAATCAGCGCCGTGCCCTGCGTCGCACGCAAGGTGGAGATTCCTCTCCCCCCTCACCCCTCCTACAGTGCACGCGCACACACATTCTGTCATGAGCCAGTCATGAGCCAGCCAGCCACCAGCCGGAACGCCCCCCCCACTACTCCGACGAATCAGCCGAGGTTGTGCTCGTCGTTGTCGCACGCACGCACCCGCACGCTCGGCTCTGACCCTCTCCTGGGGCCTCTCCTCGCACTTCTCCTCGTGCCGCCGAGCCCCCCGTTGTCGTCCCCCCCCCCCCCCCTCCCCCTCTCACCCCCCCACCCCCCCCCTCACCACCACCACACGTGTATGCACCCCTCACGGGCCGCTCCAGGCCGGCTCTCAGAGGTCTCCAACCACGCCCCCCGCCGCCCCCACCGCTGCAGGGGCTGCACTGCGACTTCGCCTGCCTGCTCTTCTCCAAGCTGGAGCGTCCGCCGCCGCGCGAGCGGGTGCTCGACATCATCCGCGAGGCGGTCGAGATCGAGCGCGTCTTCGTCACCGACGCGCTCCCCGTCTCGCTCATCGGCATGAACGCGCGGCTGATGACGCAGTACATCGAGTTTGTCGCCGACCGCCTCCTTGGCGAGCTCGGCGTCGGCGCGCACTGGGGCGTGGCCAACCCGTTCGACTGGATGGAGCTCATCTCGATGCAGGGCAAGACAAACTTCTTCGAGCGGCGCGTCGGCGAGTACCAAAAGGCGGGCGTCATGGGCGGCGGCCAGCAGGGTGGCGGCCGCGAGTTCACGCTCGACGCCGACTTTTGATCCTGACGCGTAGCCCAGCCCGCCCTCCCCTGGGGCTCCCCCCTTCCCTTCTCGTGGTTCGCCCGCAGCCATCAACGAAGCCCCCACTACAACTTGCGGCCAGCAGCGAGGGAACCGCTCCCTGCTGCTCGCGGTCGATACAGATTACAGTTCAGTCGCGTGTGTGTGCGTATCACACGCGCGCTCCCGCCCCGTGCAGCGCATCTCATGGGGCTGCGGCCCCTCTGGTGCCGTCTGCCCTCTCTCATGAGCCTCTCTCGAGCGACTCCTCTGTGGCACCGTCCTCTCTCGCGCCGCCACGCCGCACGGGCACGCGTTCTGCGCGTGTGATTTATTGCGGAGATTCGTTAATTATGCTTGAACCGCCTTATAAAAAACATATGTAACGGACATATCGGAGACTGACAGTCATTGACTCCACCGCGATTACGTGTATCTCTATTTGAGCCTAGACTGGGCTATGTGTGAGCACAACACCTGCACACGAACACATGGTGAGCACAACCGCAACACGGCTCTCTCTCTCTCGTCTCGACGCTCTGCATGCACATGGACATGTGCATGTGACATGTTGTGCATGTGCATGTGCATGTGCATGTATGTGCATGTTGTTGCAGCACGCGTGTGGCGCCGGACCGCTCTGCGACGCCCGAACGTTAGCATGGCATGCGACAGTATGTAGAGTCGGCACTCTCATGGACATGGCATGCACCTTCTTTCCCTCCATTCCCGTCACGCGGACGAGGGTCCGGGCATCTCGCTCGCGGCATCGGAAGAGGCGTTGGTGTCCGTGTTGCTCATATTTTCCACCTTCTCGCAATCCCGCTTCTGCTGCTTCCTCGCCGCGCAAGCCTTGGCCACAGCAAGATCGGACTGTGGTGGTGGCGTCACCTTGCACTTGGGAAGTTTCGTATAGGCTTTGCGCTTTTCATAGTCCACACTCGCCTGCGCGTAGCGGACCGATTCCAGACGTTCCTTGCTGAGCTGAGTGCTGTCTGAGAAGTCGCGAGCGCTGGCTGTGGAGCCCACCGCGCTCTTGCGTGCGCTTGAGGCGGTGAGGGCAGCGGCGGTGGCGGCGGTGGCGGCGAGTGCGGCGGCGGCGAGGTAGAGAGCGTCGCGCGAGAGCGGCTCTTCTGGCGCCAGAGGCGGCGGCGATGGCGGCGGCGAGGGAGCGGAGTGCGCCTTAAGCCAGACGCCATACGTGGTGCGGCCGAACCGATCAGTCGGCAGGGCGCACCAGCCAGAGCCACCGCACGGATCGAATACTCCTTTCAAGGCGAGGGCCTCATTGCAGCGTCTGCACCCGTCCTCCCAGGACGTGCCATCGGGAACACCCATCACCTGCGCGTCCATCCCGCAGCCGGCCGCCTCTACGGTCATACCGCTGCCGCAGTCGACGGAGGGAGTGGTCGCCAACAGCGACAGCGAGATCACCAGCATGGCCATTCCAGCCAGCTTCGAACACCTTGCTGTTTGGGGCTGGCAAATCAGGGATTTTTCTTCTTTTAGCGTAAGCAGCTATGCCCAACACAGATCTACGCTCCTCCTCGCAAACCCTGTCAGCAGTTCACCTTCGGGTACGAACTAAGAGCTTCATACCCTCAAAAGAAAGACACCAAGCGCCGTCCTCGGTCGTCGCGGTGATCAATGTCGAGAGCGCTGCGCAGCCTGCCCGCCCTCCTGCGCAAGGCGGAGGTGTGCCTGTGGCGCGGCGAGGCCGCGGCCGGCATCGCCGCGTCGCGTGAGGCGCGGGCCGTTTGCGCGACGCTGCCCGCCTCTGCGATGCCGAGGCGCGAGGCGCGGCTGGCGGCCAACCTGCACGGGGCTCTGCTCCACCTCGCCGGCGACTATGACGAGGCGGAGGAGTTTCTCGACGAGGCGCTCGCGCTCGCCGAGGCGGCGGCGAGGCACGGCCTCGCACACGACCAGTTTGTGTGCTGCGCCGGGGCGCTCGGCGACTTGGGCTCAAACGCGCTGGCGCTCGGCGACGCCGGCAAGGCGCTCGCGTGCAGCAAGCGCGCCGAGTACATGCTCAACCGCGCCTACCGGCCGAGCCACGCGGCGCAAGGTGGCGTGGCGATTCGGCCGGGATCGCTCGCGGGCGGCGCAGTCTGAGCCTCGGCCCTGCGTGCCACCATAGGCGCGCTGCGTGTCACGCTCGGCCTGTCGCAGAGCGCGATTGGCGACCACGCCGCCGCGCTGCGCAGCCACCAGCAGGCGGGGTTCTAGCAGTGGGGCCGGTGGTTGGAGGAGAGCGAGGGCGGCACCGCCTCACCCACCTCCCTGGGCGCACCGGCAGGCGCTCGCGCAGCTCACGTCGCCGCCCGCGATTGCCGCGCACGCCCCGCCAATGTGGTCGCTCGCGGCGCGCGTTGGCGCCATCGCCGCCGCCGCCTCGCTCGGCGACGCGCAGACCGCGAGGGGGCTGGCGGACGAGGCGCTCGCCGCGAGCAGCGGCGCGCCCGTCGGGACTGATGGCGGCGAGGTGAGCCGCGAGGCGATCAGAGCGGTGGTGGCGATGGCCGAGGCGGCCGCGGACCAGCCGGCGAGCGCCCCCGCCGCACCATGGCTGCCTGCCCTCGGGGCGGGCGTCGCGCTCGACGGCTACGCTTTGCAGCAGGCAGAGGTCGGGGACGCCGGGAAACGGGATGAGTAAAACAAGGAAAGGTTTTTGTTTATCAGTCGTAAGGAGGTCGATCAAAGAAGACAATCTCGCCCGCTCGCTCACTCTGACACGCTGCATCTCGGAGTATCTCCGAAGCCACTCCCTTGCCCTCCCTTTCAAGCGCTCCTTGCCATCCCAGCCGAGAGTCTCCTGCCGCGTCCAGCACTCCGTCCGCAGCCATGCTCTCTCTCATCTCCATCGTCAACGGCGCCCCCGTCCCGGCGGCCAGCACGCGCTCCAACGCTCGCGCTCTCGCCGGATGGCAGGCGTACATGAACCAAGGCATCGAGACGGGCGCCGCCTACGCCAACGCCGGTGCCTCCGGCGACGACGTCTTACTCCAAGACCTCAACGCAGAGACGGCCGACAAGTTTGATGGCCTGAACAGCGGCAAGACGACGGCCGGGTCGCCCGCTATCATCGCCGACGGCCAGCTCAGCGACGGCATCCTCACGGCAGTCAACCAGCTCACGTCGGCGCTCGGCTCCCCGGCCTCCTCGCCATCCTCAGCCGCCGCCGCCGTGGACGAGAAGGCCTCCGAGCCGCCGCACGGCGCGAGCTGGCAGGACTACATGATGCAGGGCATCCAGACCGGCATCGAGTTTGCCAACTCGGGCGCCGGCGTCGCCTCCGGCACCACCGACCCGTCCACCGACTTTGGCGCCCTCTCGGCGCAGACCGCCGACCACTTCGACGCGCTGAACCACAAGGGCGGTGCGGCGGCGGCGCCGGCGAAGGAGGCGGGCGGGCAGCGGCGCAAGCTCACCGCCGGGTGGCAGAGCTACATGAACCAAGGCATCGCCACCGGCGTCCAGTACGCGGGCGCGGGCGCCGGCGTTGCCGCCGGCACTACTGACCCATCGACCGGCTTCAACGGCATCAACGCCGAGACCGCCGATCAGTTTGACGCGCTGAACCGCAAGGGCGAGGCGATCGAGGTGGCCGAGGCCGAGGCCGAGGCCTCCCCGGATGCCGCCACGCCGGCCGTCGGAGCCTCCGACGCGCTCAGCGGCGGCATCCTCGCGGCCGCCAACCAGTTCGCCTCTGCGCTCGGCTCGGGCGCCTCCTCCGCCACCTCCGCCTCGCCCGCCGCCGCCTCTCCCGCCTCTGCCGGCGCGTCCGCCTCCGAGCCGCCGCACGGCGCGAGCTGGCAGGACTACATGATGCAGGGCATCCAGACCGGCATCGAGTTTGCCAACTCGGGCGCCGGCGTCGCCTCCGGCACCACCGACCCGTCCACCGACTTTGGCGCCCTCTCGGCGCAGACCGCCGACCACTTCGACGCGCTGAACCACAAGGGCGGCGCGGCGGCGGCGCCGGCGAAGGAGGCGGGCGGGCAGCGGCGCAAGCTCACCGCCGGGTGGCAGAGCTACATGAACCAAGGCATCGCCACCGGCGTCCAGTACGCGGGCGCGGGCGCCGGCGTTGCCGCCGGCACTACTGACCCGTCGACCGGCTTCAACGGCATCAACGCCGAGACCGCCGATCAGTTTGACGCGCTGAACCGCAAGGGCGAGGCGATCGAGGTGGCCGAGGCCGAGGCCGAGGCCTCCCCGGATGCCGCCACGCCGGCCGTCGGAGCCTCCGACGCGCTCAGCGGCGGCATCCTCGCGGCCGCCAACCAGTTCGCCTCTGCGCTCGGCTCGGGCGCCTCCTCCGCCACCTCCGCCTCGCCCGCCGCCGCCTCTCCCGCCTCTGCCGACGCGTCCGCCTCCGAGCCGCCGCACGGCGCGAGCTGGCAGGACTACATGATGCAGGGCATCCAGACCGGCATCGAGTTTGCCAGCGCGGGCGCCGGCGTCGCCTCCGGCACCACCGACCCGTCCACCGACTTTGGCGCCCTCTCGGCGCAGACCGCCGACCACTTCGACGCGCTGAACCACAAGGGCGGCGCGGCGGCGGAGGATGCAGCACCGCCCGCGGAGAAGCAGGCGGAGTGGTCGCCGAGCGGCACGTACAACTACGGCGGCGCGGCCTACGGGCAGCCCTACCAGCAGGGCTACCCGCAGTACCAGCAGCAGGGGGGCTACCAGGCTGGCGCGCAGGGCTGGGGGCAGCCGCAGCAAGCGCAGGCCGCCGCCTCGGCCGGCGCCGCCGCCGAGAAGAAGCCCTACGTGCCCAAGAGCGAGCTGGGCAAGGCGGTTGGCCGCCTCTCGGTGGCCCTGCCCAACGCCATCCTCGGCGGGCTCACCGGCGCGCTCACGGGCGGCATCCAGACGGTGGCGGACACGGCGGGCGTGCAGGTCCCCCCGCCCCCGGCCGCCGTGCACCCGAGCGACGTTGCGCAGAGCAGCCAGGCAGCACCCGCAGCAGCCGGCCAGAACGACGGGTGGGGCGAGGCTGCGGCCGCTGAGCCCGCCGCAGCTGCCGAGGACGAGTGGGACAGGGCGTGAGTTCCTCGCGGAGGATCTCTTCAGGCAGCCGTCTTAGGCTAGCCGCTCTTTACGCACTTCGGAGACGGAGTCTCTCTGTTGGTTGCGCGGCAGCGCGGGCGGGAGAAGAGCGTCTTCGTGCGTCACACAGACATTGATGTGATGCTTTGCATAGTACGAACCCATATGTCATATCAAGATCACAGTTATATACCTAACACACTTCCTCTTCCCTTCTTTTCACAACAAACGCACAGATCACAGATCACAAACGCACTTGGAGCACTTGGACGCACGTGAAACGATTCTCGGCTGCGAGGGAAACACCCCCGTTGCCGGGCGCATGTGTGTATGGCGCTTAGCGTCGAACCAGACGCACTCGACACGCTCCTGTCGTTGCAGCTTCGCATTGTGGAGGAGCAGCTCGGCCGTCGCCGTGCCACGGATGGTGCAGGCGACGTCTGGCATCAGGAGCTTGCGGCGAGGCAGAAGCGGCTTGACGAACTCGACCGGCAGAATGCGAGGATGGCCCAGGAGTTGGATCGCGCCGTTACGCAGGGCCCGCGCGCGCGGCCGCCGCCAGCGCCGCCGCCGCAGCCACCACTAGACACCGAGCTCAAAGCGATGCTCGAAAAGTCTGTTGGCCTGCACAATGAGCTCATGGAGAACTTGCGTGCTGGTGCTGCTGAAGAGGAGCGGCGGCGGCGAGAGGCAGCGGAGGAGGAGCGCCTCTGGCGGGAAGAACTCGAGACGGCGGAGAACAGCAAAATGTCAGACGATATTGACGAAGCTGGCCGAGACCGATATGTACCACCACCGCCGCCACCCTCGCAACCGCAACCACTGCACGGCGAGGGCGGCCAGGGCGCTGGCGAGGAGGCAGCGGAGAAGCTGCTGGGAGAGATTGACGCGGCGCTTCAAGACGTCGACCTCTCTTCCGACTCAGAAGCCGACTTGGACGAGGCAGGGTCGCCTCGAAAGCAAGACGCGACACCAGCAGGAATCACTGACGAGCCGCCTGGTGGCTCACCATTGCCGCGTGTGCCGCCACGGCGGGCAGGCTCCGAGGCCTCTTTGAGTACCTTCGACCCCGAGGAGGAGGAGGAGGACGCCCCCCCACCTGAGGCCGAGGTATCGGAGGTGCTTCTCTCTTTCGTCCAATGCGCGATTCCTTGGCTAAAGCGAGCGGTGCGACCCGTGGTCTCCTCCATGTTGCGTGACGCGTCGCTGCAGCTCGACATGGTCGGTGAGCGGCCCCAGCGCCGAGCCTCCCCACGCTACCGACGACAGCACATCTTCTCACACTGCTGTAGAGCGCAGTGCCAGATTGTCGGTCCGTGCGGCCGCAATCACTCACCTCAACGTGATCACTCACCCTCATGCGCAGGCGAAGCTGCGGGGCTCGCCCGCGGCCGACGCTTCACGCTGCGCCCGTCCACAAAGCCAACGGCCGAGATTGACAAGCAGTGCTCAAAACTGCGCGTGCGAACTAAGGCGCTTCTAGAAGTGGTGCTCGAAGCGCTGTCCGATGCTCCTGCGCCAATGCTCGGCCACCTACGCTATCTCACCTCGCGGCGGCTACACTGGCCCAACGACGCCCTGATGCCGTCCGTTGCTGGGACGCTCGAGCCGCACCACGATGGGTCCTCTTCGCCCACGGCCACATCGCCGCTTGCCATCACGATGCAGGTGGGCCCAGAGTCTACCCGGGTACCGCCTCAGCCGCCCTAAAACTGATGTGTGATTGGTCCCGCCCACTGCAGCTGCTCATTGTGCGCGTGCTGTGCGAGGAGCTGCTGCTGCGGCCGCGGGAGAACGCGCTGGCTAAGGCACTCACGCCGACGCGTCAGGCAAACCTCAAAATGGTGGGCATTCGCACGCGCCTCCCTCTCGCCGTGTGCCGTCTCGCCACCCTCCTCTCCCGGGACTGCAGGTGGCCTGCCTCACCCTGGTTGTCTTTGTCTGCGCGCGGAACGGAACCACCGACGTCACGCGAGTGCAGCGTCTGCTGGAAGCAGAGGAGCCGGCCGGCAGTGTGGCTGTTCCGTACTACTATGGGAATCCTCGGCGCTACCAGAAGGAGCTCGGCCGGCTGGTCGAGACGGGGCTCCCGCGGCTGCAAGAGTGGCTGCGTGAAGCGCCCGAGATTCTCTCTCGGTTCGCAGAACGAGTCCTTTTGATGGCGCAGCGTGACGCACCGGCGGCAGAATTGGGACGAAACCCTTGACCTCAGTACTGCGCGGAAGCTAAGTAGGTCGTACACGAATCGTGGTTTTCCAAGAGAGAGACAAAAAATAAATAAGGGGAACGGCGAAAGTGACGCGCAGACGCCGCCTCGTTTCTAGCGCTCGCAATGGGGGCACGGCATTCCGCCCCGCCCACCCATGCGTCAGACGTGGTGGCTCCCACGGACGGCTCGCCGCCTGCACCGCGGCGCTCGAGCTCGGAGACAGAGCTCTCGCCTCCTCAGCGAGCGCTTTCGGGCACCATCTACAGCGATGCCGCAGCCTCCGAGCCGCCTAGGCTCTCTCTCTCGGGTCTCTCAAGGCGGAGGAGCCTCAGCCGTGGTGTCAGCCGCTTGATCAGCAAGCGGCTCCTTCGGCGGAGGGCGCGCGAGGCGTCCGAGGCGCCCGACGAGGAGGTGTTCGAGGAGGACGAGGAGGGCGAGGAGGAGGCCGAGTCGGAGGGCGAGCTGGGCAATGACGAGGACCTGGACGAGAACTGCATCGTGTGCATGGACCAGCCGCGCGACGCCACCGTGATGCCGTGCCGCCACATGTGCGAGCCTGCCTCCACGCCCGCGAGCAGCCGCTCCTTGCAGACGCCACGCCCTGCCTGCCTCGCAGGGTTCTCTGCAGCCGCTGCGCAGGCGCGCTGCGCTACCGCACGGACGTGCAGCACCGCTGCCCTATTTGCCGCACAGAGATCGAGTCCGTCCTCGAGGAGGACGAGCAGCTTGAAAAGGCGCGCGGCGAGACGGCGCCGCACAGCGAGCTCTCCCACGCCCTAACACTCGCTTCCCGGCCCACACGCAGGCAATGCTCGAGTTGCCGTGGGGCTTCCGCTGAGTATGGGTGCATGCTCACGAATGGTTATAGGGGAAGAGAGGAAGCGCGCGAGAAGATCGCCCGCATCTCCCGAAAAAAAAGGGAAAGAAGGCACTGCGTTTTTTGGCACGAGCGGTACCAAAGCCTCGCATCAAAAGCATATAAGCATATATCCATCTTCACCCGATTTTTTTTTTGATAGAAAAAAGGCCGCGCGGCACACAGCACACACGCATCGCATGACATGCTCTCGGGCCCACAGACATCCCGCACACTCGCCGCCCCCGCGCGCGCCCCGCCCCGGCCGGGAGAAAGGGGAGTGACAGTTTGGGATGGGGAGGAATAAAGGCCCGGCGGCGGCGCGTCCGGCATTTCTTTTACATTTCGAGAGAGAGATTTTCAATACCAAACAACTCTAATGACTGGAATTCGGACTTTGTGTGTGTGTAGTACGTCTACAAGTTACTATGTCTGAGCTCTCGCTCGGATAAGACCCCCCCCCCCCCCCGCCCCGCCCCGCCCCGCCCCGCCCCCCGTCCGCCCCAATCCCGCTAGGAGCAGAATACGCGCCCCCCACTGCTTCCCGCAGGCGAGAAGGGACTCAACTCAAATCAATGGGCTCGCCCATACCGGAGTGGTTCGACTCCACGCAAACCCGGAGTGGTGAAGGGCTGGCCGTGCGGTGGTCTCAGACCCAGTGAGGTAGTGCATCCGACGGCCCGGATCCTGCTGAACAAGTTCCTCTTGTAGCTCGATCGGTCACACCGCCATCGCCGTCGGGGAGAGGGGGGACGACACTGCTTCGGCAGCGTGCACCTCGATCCTGTACCGTGTTTGTTATGACCCCCCCCCAATGAACACACCAGTGAGGGAGGGCGAGACGATCGAGGGGTCCCGTACCATGCGGAATCGACCCTATCCAGTGCTCAAGTGCTCAACAACTCTAACACTCACACGTTTGCTTTTTACATTTTTGTCAGGAGGACGAGAGAGAAGAAAAGAGGAATTCCGCGCTGCAGACAGGGTCGCCCGTTGAGAGCGAATGTAGTTGTTGGACTGTGGGGCGTGTGTGATACGGCTCGGGTATGACCTTTACTGTCTGTGGGAGAGAGAGATGGAACTGTCTGTGGCGTGGTCCAACCTGTCAGTTCGCAGGAGGGTGACCCGTGACCCGGTTCATGGACCAACTCCTTCGCGGTTCGTTCACGGTTCGCGCGGGATCACGGACTCGGGGTCTCGGGCGCGGTGTCGGGCCGGGGGCGGGGCCGCGGGGGACCGGGCGGGCGGTCAGGGGCGCTGTCAGGGCGGGGGCTAGTTGGTCGACTAGTTGGTTCGTCACGGTTCACGGTTCATGATCTCCGCATGAACTGAGAGATGGTGGTGTCGTAGTTTGAAGTTTTCGTGTGTGTGTAAAAACACGAGAGTAACGAAGTGAAGAATGCGAAAACGGTGTGGACACATGCGCAACTTTGACTTTGATCTTTGTGAAATCTCCATGGGGAGCGCCATCTCCATCACTCCCAGCCAAGCAAGCTCTGTCCCATCAAACGAGGTTGGAGGACGTGCCAGTGGCGTGCGCTTGCCCAAGCCCAATGCGGCCGGCGGCATGAAGGCCCCCCAACGCCAGCGCAGTCAGCAGTCCGAACGCCGCGACCGCGAGCGCGGTCGATGGAGGTCGCGCAGTGGGCGAAGCTACCGCCAGCGCCTCGCTCGCCAGACGAGCAGCGTCCATCCTCCACGCGTTGATCGCGCTCGTCATCGAACTGGCGCCACCGGCGAAGGTCGCGACGCTGGTGGCGCCAACCGCCTTGAGCGAGGCCATAGACGCGACCGTGGTCTGATCGATCGCCACTTGGGCCTTCTCCGTTCCCGTGGAGGCCGCCTTTGCGCTTGCGGCGACTTCACTGGACGACTTGACCTCGCCGGAGAGCATGGCGTCCAAGCCGTACGACCCAATGCCCATCGCAAGGCCCTGGAGCTGCCCGGCAGCCGCCTGCAGGCCGCTCTTCCAATCGCCCGCCTCATTGTATGCAGTCATAATCTCCACGCCCGCCGTTTTGGTGGCGTCAGCGAGATACCCCATTCCCACCTTCGCCTCGCCCAGCGCAGCCTTCACGTCTGAATTGGCGGCTGCCTTCGCCTCAATCGCCGACTCTTTCGTCGCAGAAGCGACCTCGTCCGGCGCAATGGCTTCTGCTGCCCTGGAGGCGCCGGCAGGCAACGTCGTGACGCCAACGGCCCCTATCTCGCCCGGGAGCGTCGTGGCGTCGGCTCCGATCCCACCTGGCGTGGTGACGCCGGCTCCGATCTCACCTGGCAGAGTGCTGGCGCCGCCAGTAAGCACCTCCGGGCTGTACTCCTGAGTCATTTCCGACAGCGTGTCGGCGAGGAACGCAAACGCTGACGCGAACGAGGAGGAGGCCGAGATCGAGTTCTTGTTGGCAGCAACGTACGCTTGGGAGGCTGCTGCTTTGAAATCGGCCGCCATCAAGTCCTCCCATACCTTTGAGTTGGCCTCCTGCGCTGCCGCCGAATCGGCCTCAGCGATTGCCGTGGTGGCCTCTGCCGCTGCGGCTGTGCCATCCGACTCCGCACGCACCGCGCCAGGCAAGGCTAGAACGATCAGCAGCGCGAGCAGATTCTGCAGCGCCATTTGAAGTCCCCCCCCCGTCGCCCGAGCGAGACCCTGCGTGGGCCGACGGAAGGGAAAGCAATGACAAATGACGGAAAATCCTAAATTTGATAATGAACATGTCGACTTCTCCCTCACTTCGACTCCCTTGGGTGTTTGCTTTCTTTCTTTCACTTTCACAGTCAACGCTGAAGAAGTGTCGTCCCCCCTCTCCATCACAGTCCACTGAGTAACCCCCGACACGAATCCTTCACGCGCGTCCGCACCGAGGCGCGAGGGGAGGAGAGGGTTCGACGTTTGCTCGCTAGTCTTGCGGGCCTGCCTTGCCGGCCGGAGCCTCCTCGTCATCGGCGTGGCGGCGGACCGAGGCCAGGGCGGCGAGCCAGGCGGCCAGCAGCGCGGCCTGGCAACAGCTTCGGACCGATTCGCCCGCGCCGGCCGCGTGGAGGAGAGTCTTGCTGTTGGTCAGCATGATAAAGCCTCCAATCAACACGCCGAGCATGCGAGGTCGCGCGCAAGTCACGAGACGGGGTGCGAGCGGTGCTGCCGAGACGCCACCGAGGAGAAGGACGGCGAGCAGGTCGAGGCGGGCGCCGTGCCCGCCGCCGCCTCCGGCGTGAGTCGCGCAGAAGCCGGCGACCGCCGCCACGGTGACGAAGAACTCGGACGCGCTGGTGGTGCCGACCACGCGGCAGGGGGGCAGCGAGCTCCCCGCAAGGAGGCCAGACGTGGCGATGGGACCCCACCCTCCACCGCCGGTCGAGTCAACGAAGCCGCCGAGAAGTCCGATTAGCCGGAGGACGGTGGCCGACGGGGCGCCCGCTGCTTCCGCCCGGCGCGGCGCGATGCGGTAAAAGCGCAGCGCGACAATCGCGCCGAGCCCGAATAGAAGAGTCGCCGAGAGGAGCCGCGCCGTCGCCGCCGGCGTGTACGAGAGAAGCGCCGCACCAGCCAGCGCGCCCATCGCTCCCGGCGGCGCAACTTTTTTGAGGCTCGCCTCGTCCACGTTTCCGGCGCGGCGGTGCGCAAGGCCGGAGGCGAGCGTCGTGCCAACCTGTGCCAGGTGCACCGAGGCCGAGGCGGTCGCTGGCTTGAGCCCCGCGGCGACGAGGACGGAAGAGGAGGTCAGGCCGTAGCCCATGCCGAGAGAACCGTCGACCAGCTGAGCAGCGAAGCCGGCGAGTCCGACGCAGGTGAGCGTCCACACGTCTGCAGCCAAGAGAGAGGCCTGGTGCTCTCGAGCGACCTCAACCACGAGCGAGGCCGTCGCTGTCACGCTCGTGCGAACAACCGGCAAGAGGATCGTGAGGGCGAGGAGCGCCGCGATGACGGCGGCGGCAAAGGAGCTCAGCGGGGACGACTTGAGGGATGAGACTGGCGAGTGCATCGGTGGCGCAGTTTTGCTGCCTTGGACTGATGATCGCTCCCGTTTACCCAGCCAACCTCCGGCGTGGATTAGCAGGGTTTGGACGGTCGGGCGATGGTCGCGGCCGCTGCCGCTCTCCCCGCGGCGCGGCGATGGGGCGCACCGTTGGCTCGTGGCCCGTCCACCCTGAACGAGGCTCCTGTCCGCCCTCGGCCGGCCGATCCGATCGGCGGGGAGCCGCCTCTGCGGCCGACTCGCCGGCCCGACCCGCCGCTCCGGAGCGGCGGTGCGCGCCAGCACAAGTTCGCCCCGCGAGCGAGGCGGGGCGATCCGCGCGTCGATCTCAACTTCGCCCTCGACCTCGACGGCTTCCAAGAGCGCACTCTGAAGCTTGCCTACACTCTCTACGAGAGCTCGCGAAAGCGTCTGGAGATTTGCGCTCGACGACGGGCTACCGGCGTCGACCACAAGAACTTGCCGCTGCGGCCAGTCAAGGCACGACCGTGCGGCCCCACCGCCTGCAACTGCACGATCGACTACCGCCACTTGACGGCGCCCAACATGATGGGAATCGATGCGAGCATTGTGCGCGCCACGCCCCAGCCCGCCTGGACTATCCCACATAATGGAATCATCTCTGCACGCTTGTCCCATTGTGCGTCTGAAGACGACTGCATCATCTGAGATGTCA